GTAATCAAAAAATCCTACTATGTAGTTAAAACTCCCTTAAGCTTACTGTGCAACTCCATACATAAGGATAATCTGTCACTAGACACACAGATTAAACAATGCCAGATTATGCCAAGTTAACCTTTTTTTTTCAGCATCAGCTGACCTGCAAAAGAACATCCTCTGCATTTTTCTATATGTCACTATCTATTGTTTGCATTGAATCAGCAGACAACAGTAACCAAGTGTTTCCTCTAAAAACACTAGCTGTAGGCAAAATATTGAGTCATACACCCCTGCAGCAAGTTTTAGGCTAAGCCATGATGAGTCCTGATGTCCATGAAATTTGTTTTTGACGGTTCCACTTTTAGATGTGGAACTGATGATGATATGTTGCCTTTGACCTCATAGCTAAAACCTCTTAAAGCAATCTGAAGACAACAAGTGTTTGATCCAAAAAAGCTTGTGAGTGTTTTCCACTGTGTTCTTCTGGAGCTTCACACTAATTGACTTTTATGAATTGCTGCATTGCAAACAGAGCTGTCTTTCCGAGTGCCGCAAGGCAGGCCCACAGGAAACTAGAGACACACACACAGGGTAGGGGCTTATTTCCTTGGATAGATTATGGTGGTGATGTTGGGGGTTGCGATGTAATCACTGTGTAGCATCTTAATGCAGATCCCACTGGAGGCTGATGTGGAAATTGTGCAGAGAAGCTGGCAGGAAATTGTCTGTTCCTGAAATAAAGATGGAGAACAAAGACTGACTTTGAAAATTACAGTGTATAGAGCATGTGATTACAGTGCAGGATCACATTGATTTTCCTGCATTTCAATGAGCAAAACACTGTAAAGAGGCACACAGTATATAAATGAGGGAACATTTTGCTTGTTTTAAGTCCCTTTGTTTGTGTCATCTGCAATTTTTGTACTTCAGTTTTCTTGCTGATTTTAACCACATTAAATGTTTGTTCATTTTCTTTAGGCAAAGGAGATCCTGACCAAGGAGTCAAACGTCCAGGAAGTGAGATGTCCGGTGACAGTGTGTGGTGACGTGCACGGCCAGTTCCATGACCTCATGGAGCTGTTTAAGATTGGAGGGAAATCTCCAGACACAAACTATTTGTTCATGGGAGACTACGTAGACAGAGGGTACTACTCCGTAGAAACTGTCACTTTACTAGTAGCACTTAAGGTAAGGGAAAATTTTAAAAACCCTCACACATTTGACTTAACTTAACTTTTATTTAACTTAACTTTAAAAAATAACGTACAACTCTGTTCTCTGCTTGTTTCAGGTACGCTACCGGGAGCGCATCACAATCCTCAGAGGGAACCATGAGAGCAGACAGATAACACAAGTGTATGGCTTCTATGATGAGTGCCTAAGGAAATATGGTAATGCCAACGTTTGGAAGTACTTCACAGACCTGTTCGATTACCTCCCCCTCACTGCCTTGGTAGACTCTCAGGTGAGAATATACGTCAGTTTGCTTCACAGATATGATAAATATGGACTGAGCAACTCATGTTGTGACACATGATTCATTCTACAATTAACATTAAACTCTAACACTACTTGTTTAGGGAATATTAATTTGATGATGTGATGGATACACAAGCTGATGGTCAAGTTTCTCTTGTCCTTCCAGATTTTCTGCCTTCATGGAGGCCTGTCCCCGTCCATAGATACTTTGGATCACATCAGAGCCCTGGACCGTTTACAGGAAGTACCACATGAGGTAAAGATAACTGTGTGTGTGTGTATAATTTGGGCCAGGAATATAAAAAATGAAGAGCAATAAAACAATTAATTGAACAAAAACAACAACATTTGGTTGTCATCAACAGATGTTTGTCAGTAACTTTATCATGACCTTTACCTTAGAAACAAAAAGGAAGTAATGATATTCTCTTTTCTCCATAACTGAGTATATTTGCTGTTCAATGAATCATTAGGAGGACTGTGTCTGTGTTTCTTTACTAACGTGCTGCTCCACCTCCCCCTCTTTGTCTCCTGCAGGGTCCCATGTGTGACCTGCTGTGGTCAGACCCCGACGACCGTGGTGGCTGGGGCATCTCCCCTCGAGGAGCTGGCTACACTTTCGGCCAGGACATCTCTGAGACTTTCAACCACGCCAACCGCCTCACACTGGTGTCCCGTGCCCACCAGCTTGTTATGGAGGTACGTGTCACTATACAGCATGTGTCTGCTGAGGATGATATAGTTTGGGACAGGAAAGTAAATTTGCATCAACAGGACAAAGTTACCGTGTATGTTCGGAATTTTACCGAGCAAATAGGAATTTTATTGTAGTTCGGGACTGTGCCTGTTAAACTTCTCAGTTATAGTCAAAAATGACCTATTTCAGTAGGGTTAATTAATTCAAAATATCCACTACTGCTACAAAGGACAAAACAATTATATCACCAGCTCATACCGAGTTTAAAAAACAGTTTAGATTTGTCTTATAGTAGCACTCTTTCCTGAATTATACATCTCCGGTGAATAATATATCTGCTTCCCCACAGGGTTACAACTGGTGCCATGAAAGGAATGTGGTGACAATATTTAGTGCTCCCAACTACTGCTACCGCTGTGGCAACCAGGCAGCTATCATGGAACTAGACGACACCCTCAAATACTCATTGTAAGTATATAAAAAGATAACTGAGCATGTAATGATGTGGATCCCTACAAGCTGAAGCTCTGCACGACGATGTTCTAGACTTTGCAGAAATGAAAATATTTGTTTACTATAAATTGTGACCTGTATTCATCATTCTAAATAACACTTACAATATGTATGAAATAACAATGATTAGTTAATAAATCTTGTATTTTTTTATTCCTTCTAACCAGCTTGCAGTTTGATCCTGCGCCTCGCAGAGGGGAGCCTCATGTCACCCGCCGCACCCCAGATTACTTCCTGTAAACTCTGACCTTTGATCCTTGTACAGTCAGGTCCAGTATTGCCATGATGTATGACCTTCAACCGATAACAACATGAATGAAGAAAGGGAGGGTGGGGAAACAACTACTGGGTGGGGGGAGGGGGCTACACAGCAGTGCACATTGTATATCCACACAAAGACCTATTTAAGCATTTAGCAAAAAACAATGTCTATGTGTCTATGAATGGACCAAAAGGTGTGTGCCATAATCATTACAATATTCATTGCTGAGGTATTTACAATCTCCCCCACTATGTAAAACAACAGTGATAAATTCCTCATCCTGTACCTGTGTAGTTGGACTGATGGCATCGAGGTCCAAGAGAAAAAAAAGATTTGCTACTTTGAATGCGGCTGTTTGAACCCCACACGCCATGGCTTCTATTTAGGAGATCTAAACATGATCTGTTTGCACTTTTGTAAATCTAAAGAAATGTAACATATGTCAAAAGATGGAAATTATTTCACACTACAGATGTTTTTTTTTTGTTTTTTGTTTTCTTTTAGATTTTCTTTTGTTTTTATTACAAATAAAGTCCCCATCAGGCAAGTTTTACACAAGGTTTCTTTGTCCTGTGTAACTTTTAAGGAAAACACTTCTTATGCAGTCACCCAGCTTGGTATATATGATAGACAGATGATGGAGTGTTCATCCACATCAACTCACTGACTCCCTCTGAATTACAGAGTCTGTATTAACCAAACCATTTGAATAATAAAGATGAAGGTGGCTCGTTGATGTGACTGTTCTGTTTTCTGCTCTTCTTTTTTACGGTACTGAAAAGTCCATTTGACCTGTGATTAATCTGTAACGATGCCAACTTGAAGTCGGCTAGTTCACCAGCGAGTAGGTCAACCATCTGGACTGCAGATTGTCTGCCAGTTCTACAGTTGAGTAATTAGTTCAGGATGTGTGTTTTGGAGAGACGCACTGGCAACCTTCCTCTTATAGAGTGTTACAGCTAATTAAGCCTATCAGAATATCTTGATAAAGTTAGTGTCTCCTTTGTGTCTGCACACCAATGGCCTGGTTCATTCACCACCTCACATCTTGGCAGTAAGGAAGGAAGGAACAAAATTAAAAGCTTTGGCACATAATTAATAGTATTTTTGATCCCTTGTACTATTATGTCTAATTATAGTTAGAAGATTCTGTAGTCTTTACCTTGGAATAATTGCTTTAAGTGCTACCGTATATATTGTAATTATGGGTGAAACAAATAACAGATAAAGGTTTCAGGGTTATTTTTATCGTCAATTACAAGGCAGGTTTGTAGGAAATTATATTTAGCTATAGTTACCTTTTATGATGCTTTAAAAAAAACTAAATGAAATGAATGTTATTTTATGTTTTCCAATTTTTTTTGTTTGTCATATGAGCATAAGTCAAATGAGCATGTCTTTTTGTTTCCCCTCTTTAATTAAAGTTCTGTGCTCGACATTGACAACAAAATAACAGACACTATACAATAATTTTATACTAGTGATGCAACATTTAGAAATAGATCAAGTGGTATTTATGTAGATCAAAACTAGGGAATGAAACCTTTCGAGGAGGGCTTGAAAGCACCACAGAAGCGACTCGAAAGGATCTGTAATGAGGAGAGCGCCACACCGTGGTAGCTCAAAGAGTAACTAAAAATACAACTACATTAAAGAATACAGCTCAATTAGAACAAACATCAGGCCTATAGACCTAAGGAATATTTCCCAAAAGCAAGTAAATACTGCCAAACCCGCCAAAATCACAGTGAAATGCAGTTTACTGTAGATTTTACATAATGCATTCATCAAGAATCAATTAAACTAAAAAACAATGTAGCTAAATATGGTAAAAAAAAACACCTTAATTCAAATAAATAAGTACAATATGTAGTGATTAAGGACCCCTCCAATTAAAACATTTTAAATATTATTAAAAACCAGAATGTACTCCAAAAAAAAAAAAAAAAAAAAAGTGTGCCTCAACATGATATAAATCTGAGAACAATCAATGGCTCAGATGTTGAGTTTTAAAAAAAATTAAAAGAAAATGAAAGTATAAACAGGAAAAGCCCCCCCCACCACCTCCTCTTTTCCTCCTGCTGCTGACAAAGCCACCGACAGCCTCCGGGCGGCAGGCTCACCCGGTTCATCCACAGACTCCCAGCCGCTGTCGGTGCCTCCGCGTCTGTCAGGCCCTGCTGTTGACTACAGAGGAATTTCACCTCTGGATCGGAGTTAAAAACATTTACGGTGGGTAGGCCTCGTAAAGCAGGATGTTTATATCGTGTTCCGATTTAGAAATGTTGTTTTATTTCACCTCCTTCCTTCCTACATTATGTTTACATCTTTGTTTCAGAGGCCTCGCTGACACCGCGAAGGCGCTAAGCATTGTGCATGGTAATGCTAGCCGCCGCCTGCTTAGCTTTAGACGACAAGAGTTAGGTTGTATAAAAGACACAATGCGGACATCGCAGCTCACATCCAACGCGTGGATCTGATGTTGTATGCATCAACGAGCCTCCCTTTTTTTTACGTGGTTTTCACTTGAGTTAGCTCCTTTCGTTTAGCATTGTCGTCGTTTAGCCTGCTGTGTTTAACAGGTGGCTAGGTACGTGTAGCGTCGGTTACATTGAATGTAAGATCGATAACAACAACGCCCGACGTAGGTAGCGTTAACATGTGTTTATATTTGAACCAGGTGTGTGGTCACGGCTCTAAATAACGCCAGGTAACTATTAATGTTGTGCACTTGGAAGAAAAACAGACGGTTGTCATCATTAGCTTAGCTGTAGCATTAGCAATGGCAAGACGTAGAATCGGTGTGCGACGTTAACGTGAGTTTACTTTATTGGCTCAACCGCGTTTTTGTACAGATTTGTAAAGTGTGTGTTTTTTTTTTTTTAATCTGATGTAGTTGCTCTGTGTTCCAGATAATGCCCACAATAAAACTGCAGAGCTCTGATGGAGAAATCTTCGAGGTGGATGTTGAGATAGCCAAGCAGTCTGTTACCATCAAGACTATGTTGGAAGGTATAACTTTTTTTAAATCACACACTTTTAACCCCGTTGTGTCACTTAATGGTTGACTTTGTGTAACATGTTTTCTTCCTTTGCTCTAATTTTGGGATTGTATTTTATCTTAATTTTAAGAAATGCCAACTTTGGTAGGTATATTAGACTGATGTGTGACATTATTTGATTTATTTGTTGGACAGATTTGGGAATGGATGATGAAGGAGATGATGATCCAGTTCCCCTCCCTAATGTGAATGCTGCTATACTCAAGAAGGTACAGAGCACACACACACACACACACACACACACCATACCACACATACACTCATGTATGCTGATCAGCGTTCATACAGTTTGTTCAGAAAGGACATTTTTAAATGTATTTTGAGAATTCACTTTATTAAACACCACCCTGAGGGCTCAGATGTGTTTAGATTTAAACAGGTTTCCCACACATTGAGTGATATGAGAGTTAGGTGTTGTGTTGTAGGTAGCTAATGACTAACATTCACAGATATTATAAGAAAGAAACTCGGTCATAGGTAAATAGCAGAAGTAACAAGCATGAGCTAGTGATTTCCATGGATGTTAATTTATTTGTGCATTGAGGCAAATATACTAAGAACACAGTGAAATTTCTACTACTACTACTACTACTCGTTGAGATGCAGTTTTATTAGTTGTTTATAATCAGCTATAAATAAGAGATGACGTTACCTAAATTTGGAGGCTGACTTGTCTCAGTAAGTATCAGTTTCACAGTATTAAACTATTTTTTATTATTATTATGTGTTACAATGATCCTTAATGGAAGGAAAAGAGAAGCTTTTGGTTTTTTTTCGGCTTTATTACAAATTTCACTTAATATTCAGTCCTGTATTTTACCGTATACTGTAGAGAAGTAAATCCACACGGTATAATAACAGTCAGGTGTCATGACAGTTTTATACCGCTGCAAACCTAGTTTGTGGTGCTGTTGAATTGTACTGCGTTACACTGAACGGCCTTCCTAATAGTCTACCCTCTCTCGTTGATATAAATGGAGTGGACAAAATATCATTATAGCTAATAGCCTTCCTGAAGGTAGGATTTATCACAGTGCTGCTGCATAACATTCATTTGTTTGAGCTAGATGGAGCCAAAAAAACAAACTTGGCAACTGAGTGTATGTTTAGTTTGTCTGCACATTCTGTTAAGATGAGTCAAATTTTTACCTGCTGAAACATAAGCTACTAGTTTCCTTTTCCCCTTGTTAATTGCACTCAGTAATTTGTGGGAGCAGAAGGCTTTGAAGGCCTGTTTCTTTTTGCCTCTTCTCCAAGTTCATGCTTGTCCTTCATGGTTTTAAGATTGTTTTATCTCAGTTGGAGAACTTGAACACATTTGTAGCTACAAAGTTTGTGAAATAAGAGGGAGGGACAAGGCACACAGTGATACTAGACAAAGCACAACATTTTCATTGTGGTGTTAAAATCCCTGTGCCTGGGTGAAATGCAGTGCTGATGGATGCCATATATATTTGACTGGTTGTGACCACTGTAATGAGTCACCTTTAGTTAAAATGACATGTGTGTGCGTTTGTGTGTTTCTCTCAGGTGATTCAGTGGTGCACTCATCACAAAGATGACCCTCCTCCTCCTGAGGATGATGAGAACAAGGAGAAGAGGACAGACGACATTCCTGTATGGGACCAGGAGTTCCTCAAAGTGGACCAAGGCACTTTGTTTGAACTCATTCTGGTAAATACTGTTACACATTATATTACATTTACATTACGTTGACCCACATTCACACTCTGGAGGTTGACACTAATCTTAACTACAACCAGTACATGCCAAACCCTAATCCATTAACTGGAGTTTAACCAGAACCATAACATTGGTGCCAACCAGTCCTGAAAATATAAAGTCAATCAGTTGATTAAGTGGGTTTAGTTTGGCACTGAAGCCTAAACCCCTGAAGGAGAAATGTTCCCATACATCTAATGTTCTGATGTTTTTATGCATTTTAATTGCATTTCAGTTTTGGTAAAGAAGGCCAGTGAAGACGAATCGAGCAATAATATGATGAATATAAGATACTGTATCATTCATGTTTTGTTTTTTCTCACTTCCAATGTCGTCATAATGTAAAATGTAGAGTTTATACTGAGTGGTATTGTATGATTTGACTTGTGAAGACATTTACTTTGATACACGTTTTTATAGAAAGTCGTCATCGCAGATATTCTCTTTTACTTTTGTTCCTCTTCTGTTGTCACGTTAAATGGGAGTATTTCTTTTGTGACGCTCCTTCCTGTGGTCTGTTTCGTTCACTGCTGTGGCAGAGTGCTGAGTGTTTTCATTTGGGTAACAGAGAAACAAAAGTTGCATAGCAACAGCTGGAAGATTGGCACTTTGGGAAACTGCTGTAGAAGAGGAAGGGATTTAAAAAGACTTGTTTTGAGGGGGAATAACAGCAGGGAGTGGTCATGGATTTTCTCTGGGAAGCATGTGACAGTAAAAACCAGGCAGAGCACGTGAAAGGTAACCCAAGTAGTGCCTGGGAGTGATTGGGAAATAGGTGTCGAACAAGCTGTGGGCTTCCAGGAAGTGAAACACAAGTCGGAGTGTCCGCCACTTGAGTTGATTAGCCCCCCTCCGGCTGTTTTTGAATGTGTTTACTTGCCCAAAGCGAGAGGATGCTGAAGAGGCAGGGGTGACGGGGTAGCTCAGTGCCTGTGCCATATTAAAAAAAAAAATGAATGCGAATACGAGCGCTCGTTCCTGCTAGAAGACTTTATGACATGCCTCTCTTTGCCACTGTTACCATTTCTTGCTCATGGAGGGAATTGAATTGACACGCACGTCCCATTTCTACATGTTTGGATTGTCGTCATGGTGACTTTCCAGGGTCCTAAAATCTCTTAAAGTTTGTTAAACTGCTGTGTTGTATTTTTGTATCTGATGAGACTTCAGCTTGATGGGTATATTACGTACACTAACCTTCTGGGATATTAGGCCCCATTTACGCTCTGTTGTAATATGTGTGGTCTGTGTCTGGGTAATGACATCTGTTCCACAGGCCTTTGCATTGTCGTCTGGCATTAATAAGCTTTCTTGTTATCCCGCTTCAGCCATGTCAATATGCAGTTAGTAGACCCGGCTGGCGGACTTGACAACCAACATGGCGCATCTCAGGTCAAAGAAAACAATGCCCATAGATGGCGTCATTAATTTTTAAATACATGTGTACATACTTGCTTCAGCTAACAGGGAGAGCTGGAGTCAGTGACCGTTTAACTTGCAGATTCTTAAGAGTTTACACCTGGCTCCGATCCAGCCTCCTCCTTCAGATGTGGTCTGAGCGATCTAATCGCATTCCGATCACAATCTGTTCTGCGTTTCTCTTTATCCAGAGAGGACTCACAGATGCAGATGTTAATGGGGTATTAATTGTTGCTCTGGTACCTGAAACATGCCCCATTCGTGCAGCTTCTTGTGGTTGTAATTTAGGGCTGTTTTCTGTCTGATCGCCTGGTAACGTGCTTTTATTTCTCATCAGCATTAAACCCTGACAGTCGGGGAAAAACTACCGTAAAGAAAATAACCAATAGCTTCATGCGTTTTAGTCCTTGAAATGAATAAAAACAAAACGCCCTCGACTGGCTGTTAATGTAGCCGTAAGTGTTGATTTTTGTCCTTGAAATGCTAAGGCGTGTCGGTCAGTCCTTGGCGCTTCATGTCACTGTTGTTTTTCTGTTTTTAGGCCGCCAACTATTTGGACATCAAAGGCCTGTTAGATGTCACCTGCAAGACGGTGGCCAACATGATCAAAGGCAAAACCCCGGAGGAGATCAGGAAGACTTTCAACATCAAAAATGATTTCACAGAGGAGGAGGAAGCCCAGGTAAGCTATTCCATCCATCACGTGTCTGTCATTAAACAAAAAAGGTCTCGTATATGGTAGTAGAAATTATCATATGACTTTGCACTGATGCCAAAAATGTTTTAAAAATATCCTTTTATTAAAGCAGATCAGCTTGTGTCCCTGCCTGCCACATGTTTTTGGAAACTCAGTCCGTTTGTCCGTCCTCTCGTCCACAGGTACGCAAAGAGAACCAGTGGTGTGAAGAGAAGTAAAGGGGAGGATCCTGCCAACACTACCACACTGAAAAGGAACTGTCCCTGCTAACTGGTTGCACTGGCGTTGTTCATACTTGTCAATATTTAGTATATTTAGAGCCACATACCTACCACCCTCCCTCCCTCCTCCCTCCCTCAATTCCTGTATACCAATAGCATGACCATTTTAACTTGCCTGTGTGTTGTCATTAATTTAAATAAAAATGCTCTTTCGTTTCCACACTCCCGAAGAAAAAAAAAATAGTTCTGGTTTCATGGCTTTGTACCCTTAAAAATTAGAAGACGGCCCTTTCATATTTTCCCTGTTGCAATGGTTGTCTTTTTTACTGGACATGTTTTTCTTTTAGGTTAATTGAATAAAATGGCTTTTTTGACAATGGAAATGAGAGGGTGAATATTTTATTTTTGCTCTGTAAATGCATATGTTCTGTGAAACCATGTTAAGAGTGGATGGGATGTTCATAGGAAAAGTTTAGTTTGAGGTGGAAAGATGTTTTTATTTCCATAATGTCCGTTGGACTCGAAGTACTTGTGTTGTGGCACAGCATTGGGTAACTCATTCCTAATTCATGTATTGAATTGGAAACTTTTCTCAGATAAGCTCTGATGCTGGCTTTTGGGATGATCAAACGTATATTGAAGGAGTAAATAAAACACATAAAAAGGTTGGCGTTTGTCATTTTCTTTGTTTTCATAAGTACCAGGTGCAGACAAGCATGACCTTCTTTGGGACAGTTTGTTTTTATTTTAAAAGTTATGTCTCTGAAACCATCATTCTTGAAATGTCCTTGTGCCTTAACTACAGTAGACCTGGACAAGATATTCAAAACACTTTTAATACATCAAACAAAAAAACAAGTAATACATCAGAGGCGTTAAAAAATACAAAAGACATCTTCAAGGCGTTGCCACTATGGGGAACACTCTCAAAATAAAAACAAGCTATTTCTAGCACAAGAGCTCTCTCTGCTGGAGGAAAACGGTTTTGCTGTACAAAGCTCAGCCTACAGTTTGTCCACAGCGTGGTAAGCTGAGTTTGAAAGCTGCAAGCAGAACGGTAAATTAAAGCCTTTTTTAGTCAAAATCTATTTTTTGTTACATTTAAAAAGGTGGAACATGCACAGGTTGAGAACACAAGATATCGTTTGAACGCTGCCGCAGTAACACTTGACCAAGAAAATTCTGCACATAAAAGGACAAACACAAAATGTATTGCTTTAAGAAATGGTAGAAACTAAAAATCTCTTTTTTTTTGTTATTTCGCTTATTTTTTTTTTTTTTACATAAAAACATATAAAAGTTTATTATAATAGGGGATTCCAACATTTATAAAACTTTACAACACAATGCAATATAATAGTACCCATTTGGTCTCAGATTAGTTTATAGAGCTGCAAAATGTTCAGTCAAAGGAAAAAACAACCAAAACCTCTCGTCTTTCTCTGAGGGTTTCCCCACCGGCAAAACATCTGACCTTAAAAAAAAAAATCACATGAGATGCAAAAAAAATGCAAATAAATTTGGAGAAAACGGAGCAAAAATGTAACATTGACTTAGCGAGAGACTGACAGCCTGAAAGTGCCTAAAAGAAATGATGTAACTTGAAGCTGGGGAGTTTTATGTTGAATTCTCTTTGACTTTTTTTAACCTGCTGAAAATTGTTTTATTTTCCTTTTGTCACAGGGGCTGCACAGGTAGTTATAAAAAATATTTGGAAATGGAATGAAACTGAAGTCAAACTGAAAATGGCAGCTAAAAAAAAAAAGAAAGAAGTAAAATCTGTCCCTCTCTTTAGACCTGAGGTTCTGCTGGTCAGGCTGGCTGGTTGTTGGTCTGTCCTCCCCTCTGGGTGGGTCTGAGAGTGATGGATAATAACGTCTGAAAAAGAGTCTTCTGCCCTCTCACCTTGATGCCAGATTAGCTCTTAGAACCAATCTCTGCCTCAATTTTTAGGTCCGCGTTGCTGTGATTTGTTTAACAAAGAGTTCATTTACAATACATCTTGTTTGTGATTGTCATGGAGGTTGAAACACAGGGTCGGCTTTGGAAAAATAAAAAAGGAGCACCAAGGGGCTTAGGAGGTGTATTTTTTAAATTATCTTTTCAAGAGGCAGAGCTGTCCTCAAGGCAAAATTAATTGTTTTAGTTGAGTTTAAACTGCAGCAGATGGAGCCAAAGAACCACAGATTTTAAGGTTCCAGATTAATTCTGCCTTTCAGTGCAAGTCTGCCCTCTGTACAACTGGAACTCTTGGTGACTGGTGAGATCTGGTCACCAATTCAGGGGGCCGGATCCTCCCAAGGATCCCAAGTGGGTTTAATTCAACAGTTTAGCCTCACACAGACTACATTCAGGTGCTCCTAGTCAGTTCAGTTAGTTTATAATTGCCAAATTTACAGTTTGACTGATTTAACTGTAGATACTAAACTTATGTCGAGGCTTGTGACCACCTGAACCACATATATACCAAATATTATGTGTTTTTGTAATATTTCCAGGTTGACAGGGATTGTCTGAACGCTTGATTACAGAACTAACCATTTGAAGGAGGCTTTGAGAGAGAATAGACCTGTTAATGATCTATTAACTCTAAAAATGCAGACTTTAGAAGATCCAGCGTCTGAACTGGGACACAGCTAGTATCTTACTCTGGGGCACTGTAGCAGGGCGGATCACCTATCCCCCTTCATCACTACACCACCTCGCCACCACTGGTCACTCCTTTTTCTTTCTTTTCTTTTTTAATCAAACACACGGACCACAGGGTTTAGATAAGTGAGAATGAAGGCAGGTGAGGAAGATGATCTTCACGGCTCCTGGAGGAAGCTGAGGTGAATGGGGTCACGGATGTGAGCGGACCGGAGCGATCACTGAGTCTCTGTTAGCACTTTGAGAGAAAGTCCTGCAGCCTTGGCGGCCGACAGTGCCGTCGTCGAGCTGTGCGTCTGCTTGCCGGACAGTTCCAGGTGTGTGTGGGCGTGTTTGGTCGTGGGCAGACGGAGGTCGCCGCGCTTGCTGGCGGACTGCTGCAGGGGTAAGCGTGTGTGTGAGCGTGTGTGTGTCGGCGGAGACAAGGGGAGGCGTGTCGACGGGGAGGTGGGTGGTGGGGAGCAGCCCGGGGAGGTGGGGCGCTGGTGCTGGTACAGACCGTGGCGGGAAGGGGAAGGGGAGGGGGGAGAGTCTATAGCACTTAAATCTGAAGAAGTTGGGCTGGGGCAGCCTCCTCCTTGAAGGTAGCGAATGCACTTCTTTTTCCTCCTAGGGACAGTCAGAGAGAGTTATCTGTGAATAAAGTGTGGATGGTAAACGTCAGCAGGCTTCAGTGAAGATGCATCATTCACACCGATGTCAATGAACAGGGAGACACATGATCACAATGAACAACAGAGAAGTATTAGTGTCAGAAATATAGTTTGGAAATTCTAATTATTTTCCAGATATTAAAAGAACCTAGTGTTAAATATTTAAGATTGCTTTAAAGGTATATTTTGATATTTTGGGAAATATGCTTAATGAATACTACATTTTCATGTTGTCTCATTAGTTTGAAATGTAGAAGCAAAAGCTGGGCGGATGGATAAATGATTGTTTGGAAATTAATAGTTAGACTACTTAACTCGCTCTAAAACCACAGATTTGTTTCTTTTACATTTCTCCCTGTGTTACATTTGAACAAATGATATATAAGGTGAATGACTGAGCTTTAAAGGTGTTAGCAGATGTATCATTAAACTTCCAGCTCCATAGCTAACACAGAGAAAGGAATAAAAATCATAATGATCCTTTTGTCTAACGTTTGGCAAGAAATCTAATAGCACATTTTTCAAAATGTTGAAGTATTCCATTAATAGAAAGTAATTTATATTTGTGTTGGTTAATGCAAATATCACTGTATGTTAAAAAATATTATTTAAGAGCAGAGACTACTAATTAAATGTTTTATTAATTTACAATATTACTTCAGTTTTTATTTAGTACTATTAGTCTGAAACAATGAACTCAAACAAAAATGGTCTCATGGAGTTGATACAGTGTCCTTCACAATATAAATCACCACAGAATCAGTATTCATTGCATAGAAATTGCATTACGCAGTCAGGTTTTTCAGTTATCAATTGTCCATCCCACGTGCACTATGCTCCTGGTTTGCACCAAACATACTGCAAACAGGAGTGACGTGCTGTGCTTTGTGAGGTGTTATACTTAAAAGCAGATCTTGTGTAGCGCTGAGCGCAGCATCAAAGCAGTTAACAGGATCCCATGATCATTACCAGAATATGATATGAGTCACCAGGTTTAACCGCAAGGAAAGGCGCTAGGCCATATTTAGAGAGAGAGAGAGGGAGAAAGGGAGGAAGACTGCAATAGAAAGTGATTTCTAAATGTCAGAGTTCACCATCAAAAGGCGCATGTTACCACATCGCATGAATGGAGAAAGTTGAAAGCAGATGGGCATGAGAACGCCGTCATAATGCAAAGCTGCAGGGAGTTGTGTGTGTTGAGCTGTGGTGATAAGGATTTGCTCTAACCACATTCACCCCCCTTTGTTCTTTAAAACCGAAACACACACACACACACACACACACACACACACACACTTAGATTTCCATGACGTGATGGTGGGGAAGACGACAGGGTTGCTACAGTGCTGTGGTGGTAGAAGCTGTCTCTGCAGAACCACACAGATTCCTGAGTCCTGCCGTGAAGCTCTGGTCTGTTGTCTACTGTAACTGCTGTGACTAAAACACAGCAGTCTGACGTGGTGACAGGCCTGTTTCTGATGATTTATATTATTACCATGGATCTGCTTTATTGCAGAGAACTAGGATTGTTGCAGATTTTGAAGAAAAGGTCAGGAAAGAACGCACATTTGTTGTATTGGATATTGTAGCTGTTGTCCTAAATAAGCCTTAGGTAGCTCTGAACAGATAAATATAAATAAATCAAACACCCTCTGCAGTCTGGGTACTTGATCACTTTATTAATACTAAACTTTTTTATAACTTTGTGTGTATTCAAAAATGTTATTCCAGTTGTCTCAGACTAACACTGCTCACACTGGGAAATTCCCAGCTTTAGTTCATAATTACAAGCAAGAAAGAAACATGGCTGCTAGCACAATGTATTGAATGTAAGTTTGCAACCTTTGCTGCTGAAATAGAATGAAGCTTTAGATACTATAATGAAAAACTTCAGAGTATAAATATTTAAATATTTAATATATTTAAACTTATTATTTAAAAGTTTGACCTTTTGCACAGGTGTTTCAAATTTTTTATTCACTGCTGATGATTATGCAAGGATACAGCTCAACAAGTTCTATTTTCCACAATTGTAATGGCCAAGCAGCACTGTAGCCATGCCTTGGATCAAATTGAAGTTGCAATAATAAGTTAAATGTTTTCTTTGTAGGAATGTCAGACCTTGTCGAGTGAATTCATAAATCTGTTAGTAGATGTTATACGTAGTTGCCAGAAACAAAATAACAGGCCTCATGTTTGTGCAGTTCTGACATAAATCTGTTATAAAAAGATTACAAAAGATCAGCCAGGAAACAGAGAAACGTATAAATGTCTCTTTCTGATATCAAACCCCACTGACACGTGGGTAAGCTTTTGTTTTAGGTACCATATAACCTCTGCAAACGCACTCTGACGGCCTTTTATTGAATGGTTTTCCCCTTCAACCACATGAACTCTACAGAGCCTGTATGATACAATGCATTGTAACATCAGTGTAGAGATTATGTTACTGACAAAAAGGGGTATTCCACTCGAAATCAGCGGAGAAGCAGATCATGCTGAAGGAGTAGGTCGTTTTGGGGATATTCAAATTATTTTTTATAACTGAAAATGTGGGTGTATTGCATTTTTTTAGTTACTATCCAACTACGTACCTATGACTGTAATGCTTGAGTTTGCAGAGCAGCGAGTTAGTGACAGAAAGCATGCGGAGCTTAGGTTGGATTTTCAAACATTTGGAGGCGGAGCTCGTCTTGAGGCAGACATAGTCTCATTGGTTGAGTTTATCGTCAATGGCTGGAGATTGGTAACTTTCAGTAGTTATGTAAGGTTAATGAAAAGTCCGAAGGACAAGAGAGGAGGAAGCCAAAACTATAATGCATTCTGAATTTGATCAGACTGAGATCTTTGCTACTTCCAGAGCAGCTCCGCCTTTGAGAAATGTTTGAATAACTTAGACCCCCATCAGAAGGGAAGTGATGCACCGATGGACAGATGAGAGGACGACGGCAGTGCGGTGCTATGGAGAGGGTGGGGGTGGATGTTTGGTACACACCTGCAAGGACCACACCAGTCCGTTTGTTGGTTGAGGCCGAAGCGAGCCCGGCATTTCTTAGGAGAGCCCGGGTCTGAGCACAATGCACAGCATGCACAAAACAAGGAGGAGGAAAAGCAAGAACAGAGAGGAGCAGAAGGAAGAGAGGAAAAAAAGGGTTAGAGGGTGAGGACAAAGAGAGGAGAGATAAAGACAGTTGAAGAGGAGAGGAATAAAGATAGGAAAAAAAGAGACACAAGTGCTTGTCAGGGCAGGAAAAAAGCACCAACAGGGCTGTCCGTTCAGAGAAAGCCATCAAGTCAAATTGTTAGTAGCTGGTTACAGCACAGCAAAACATCAACAACCACCAGAATAAACTCCCAACACACGCACACAAACAAACGCATAAATACACACACACACACACACATACACACACACACACACACACTTTAGTTAACCAAAAAGTCAGACATCCTGGAAACAGGCTGTTAAGAGAGACTCAGAGAGGGCGGCCGTGCTGTGACACTCCGTTAGTGCAGGATTATAAAGGGTTATCACTTTCTGGCAAAGATGCAGTCACAAGTTGTTTTATCTCAAGGAAATCCAGAAATAGGATCTTTGCTACGTCTCTGTTTAAGATTGAAGTTGGGCCTAATATTGGATTCATGGATCAGATTTATAATTAAAACTCAGATTTAATTTAAATGTAATTTTTGTCTTACATAAAACAGCAGAGAGGACATTTGAGATTTACGTCATTTAGCTTTAAAACTGCTACAAGTTGTTACTTTCTCACTTTTGATGCTATCTGCTAATGCTAGTTACTACTATAGTGTCAGACACAGTGGTTCTCAGCCTTTTTGGTGTCGAGGACCCCCTAATTGAGATCAGGCATGTATTTGGTAACATGTAGTCTCAGGCATCCCCATCTGATAAGATTTAGTTATTCCATAACTGTCTATACTGTATATTGGCAGACTGACAGTGAAGACTATGAGCAGAATAGTCATTCTTATTTATTCTCTCATTGTGATAACTTCTAGTCAATTAAATAATAGTAAAATTAAAGTATTCCCTATATTTGTGGGGACCCCAAGGAACACCCTCAAGGACCCCAGGTTGAGAACCACAGTGTTCGCATGAGCACTCGCGTACAGTGTGTGATCGCATGTGAAGGACTTTTCTGTGTGTTTTTATTTACTGGTAAAGAGACTGAAAAAGAGATTGGAAAATATTTTTGATTGCATTAATATGACGCGGGAAAAGGGGAAATGGCATGATATCTGACATTTTGAAGTCGAACAGTTAAGATCAGGACATAACGTTTTGTGCACAATGTTTATAATTCAGGTTACGTGGAAAGCCGAGTGGGTGGGTGGTTTGACGTTAGAGGCACATCCTGCCTCAAAGATACTAAGATGTTGTGCTACAGAGCGCCAACGCAAGTTAAAAGCTCAACTGAATTCTCTCTTGTATAGTTGACACTGGCCACTTGCTGTCTAACACTGAAACATGTTTAACAAGAGATAGATATTTAGATGTTTACCTGTATTGGAGTCCTGCAGCTTCTCCCTTTTTCTCCTCTTCTTCTTGCCCTGTGTGAGAAAAACAAAAACAAAATCCACCCAATGAATTACTTATTTTGTCTGTTATGGCCTCCATTAAATATTTCTGGATTCCTCTTTGCTTTCCCGGTTAGCTTAATGTGTTTGTTTACTACCCTCAAGCGCAGTCCCCCTTTGAAAGCAGTGTTCAAACTGTATTCTTTCATCAACAGAAATCTGCACCATATAAAAAAAAAGGAGGTTTCTTTAAATGCAAAGTTCAAAGCAGCAACCAGGTCAGGCAACCATATTTAATGGTCTACAAAAGCAAGAAAAAAGCAAGAAAGATAAAGAAAAACAAGAACAAGAAAATACATTGCATCCACAATGTCACTGTACACTCAGTTCATGCAAAACCTGATGTGTTGTCACCAAAAAGTAATCGATGAAAATCGAGATCTGAGACGCGAAAAAAAAAAGGTTTATAAATATAATTGTAGATCATCCAGGCATCTTGTTTTCATATTTATAGTCCTATTTCATTGTCTCCAGGCTGACTGTAATGTGTGACTGTTGAGGTAAACATCAGAGTTGTTCACACAGATCCGGTGATGGTGAAGTGAGGCCTCATATTTGGGTGAGATGAAGGATGTGGGCACAGAGATCTACTCGCCTACGCTTCAATGTCTGCCCTCCTCAGCTCGCTGTCAGCATTGTCTATGTGGTTACAACAACAACTACTCTTGCAACTGCGCCTTTCTGAAGCTTTATGTCTTGTGGGTGTACGTGTGTGCATATACTATATGCAGGTTTTTTTTTGTTTTTTTTAGGACTCCTCGGAGGAGAAACCCTCCACAGCTGCGGGGGCGATATGTGGGACTTCGCTTCCTGTTTTGCTAGTGGGTCCAGTGACTGTTTTTTTTTTTTTTTAACCTTAGGAGGAGAGCAGAGAGTGGAGGGTGATGAGGAGTGAGGGGGTTGCTTGAAAAGGAAACAATATAATAAGCACAGCCAAGAAGCCCTGAATTCTTGTTTATATATGTTGTCATTATAAACGTTTATAATGTACATGAGCTTATCAGAAGAGGAATACTTTGGATGAGTAATTCATGTTTCTTTACACTCTTGGAGTGATGAAAGATTCATTTTAAGAGTGACATACGGTATTAAATTACCTGCCCAGTACTTCCATAGTTAAAAATGAGCATTGTACCTATCAGTGAGCCCCCATGTGTAGAAGATCTTTACATATACAGTAGTACAGTAGTCGTGATATTTGTCCATATGAGCTAATCAAACACCATCCACTGTGTTATGCCTTGTTGACCTGCTTAGAAAATGCTCAAAGCTCCATGCATACAGCGATAGCTCCTACAACCTATGATAACAGTTTACTAGAGCTCCGGTTTATAACATATTCAGAACATCACAAGGACGGTTTAGAAAAGCGAGCTTGGAAATGAGAGCTTAGGGTTGGGACTTTTATTTTGAAATTTCTATATCGTCTCGTGCGGCTCTATGAGATCAAAAACCAAATGAAGAATGACATTAGAAGTGCATGTTTGTGACATGAAGCGCTCTTTCAGATGTTAAGAACGTGTTATAAACCACAGCCCAAGTGAAGTGTCACCATAACTCGCATGTCATGCCTGCCCGTCTACAGAGTTCAGCTCAGTCAGGTGTAGAGAAACAAAGACAGTACAGCAGGAGAGAAGCAGTTACAGGTTACCACTCTGATAGGTATCTGAAGTGACTGAAAAAGCAGCTTCTGTTACAACCAAAGCCTTTAATACACATTTTCCTCATGGTTTTTCTGATATTCACATTATAATGATTAGAAAAGGTTGTGTGTCTGTATAACCATAACGTGTGTCATTGTTGTTATATACTATATACTATATACTATATAGCTATACTGATAACAAAAATGAAGGTGCTGTATTTGAAAAGGAATGCCCCCCCCAAAAAAAATTTTTAAATAAATAACTAACTAAGGCAGCGAGGCCAGCCATGCGGCCCTGCACTCTGTTAGTTGAGCAAAACGGGTTGATTTATACCTCTGTGTGATTCAGTGTTTTACAGTTTAACTCACTAGTAGTCGTAACCATGGCAACATGCAAGACTTGTATTTGTAACTGACCAATCAGATCTGCGTTTTGCAGCGGCAGGTACTTGCGTGTTGTTTGTGAGGCTGATGTGTGTGAGTCATTAAGATTTTTGGAAGGTGCATGCAAACTTTGCACAGGAATACCCACAAACCCTTTCATGCAGCTCTTCACATACTCATTTTTTCCCCACCACAGAGGCATAAATCCACCATAAGACGTGTCCCTACCCAATCAGCTTTACTCTTTTCCCCTGCGACCCCGCTAAGGCCCGCCTCCTGCAAGAGTTCAACAGCAAACTGACAAGTCAGAGGCACACAGCAGCCCAGATACAGCACATCCCCAAAACATTAGACTAAAACACATGCACCACACAGGTTTGACTTCCTCCTATATTCTGGGAGACCTATTTAATCATTTCATGCCATAAAAGGTTGTAGTTATGTTTTATGACTTTTGACTGACAGGTCTGGGAGCCAATAATCATGCAGGTTGTTGAGACAGTAGCCAGTAAAAGGAAGTAAGTTGAGTAATTCTCTTCAGCTCTGCAGGTGAGAACAATTAAATATGATCAAACCCAGTTCACCAAGTTCTGGTTTATTGAATTTATCCTGTTCTGTATTTTATACATTGGTTTTATTTACAGGGAGTCAAACCAGAGAGAAAAGAAGTCAAGTGGTTGGACCACTTCCTGGTGTTTGTTTCATCAAATGTTTTGTAGTTTTCACACATTTCTGACATTTTCTACTTTTTCTCAAACGCAGCTTTCTGCTTCCAGGAACTGTTTTATGTCAAACAAAACTATAAATAGCTCTCATCACTTTCTTACTCTTATTTAGGAAGGAAATGTAATGGTGTTTATGTCCATATATTAAAAATTTAAAATGAAAATGAGTTTAAGTATAATACAATGTCCCTTGACATGGGTCAACAATGAAATGAAAAACTCAAAAGTATAACTGATAACTGATGTTTATAATCTAATATTTTCACATTGATATAATAATTACAAAAGCACACTCTGGAGATGGATCCCACTAACAGCCCAGGTATAAAAACCATGACTTTTCCACAATTTTCTTTCTACAAAGTGAGATCCTCGACTAAAAGCTTGTACATCCCCCATGTCATGTTTTTTTAGATCAGCTTTTAAAATCAGCCCAGAAAAAAAAAAAAAATTCAAGATGTCTTTTTTTTTCCCAGTCAGTATGGAGGAAGAGGAGAATAGAGGAGTAAGAAGAAAAAATTCCTTACATAGTTGTCCCTGGCAGACCAGGTCGGGTAGAGCTGCATGTGGAGTTGTCTCTCTTTCCTGGCCAACTCGTAGTACTTGGCCTGTTCCTCCCGGGTCAGTGCATGCCACTAGAAACACACACACACACACACACACACACACACACACACACACACACACAGAAAACCAAAAGAGAAACTGTTAGCATTTTGATCTAATTATCGCACATCACTGTACAGTCATTGGTGGGCGTGACTCCCATAGTAGCAGTAATCACACCAAAGGAGACATTAGAGAGAATACAAAGGAATATAAAAGGTGAAAACCCACAATTTTACCTAAATCTAACATTATGAAAACCGCATAAAGTAAAAAAAAAAAAGCCTTTACATTGAATGCTTTGATCTCAATTACAATAACTTTATTTGTCTACCACTTTTCTTAACAGAGTAACATAATGCTTTAACAAAGGACATGTGAGACAGTACAATTATACAGTAAAAGGTAAAACCAGATAAATGAGATAGAATAGTAAAATAAATTAATAAAATGATATGAATAAAATCAGTCAGATAAAAGCCAGTTTAAAAAAGGTGTGGCGTTCACATTTGAATGAAAATACAGAGGCAATGTTGCAGATTGTAAACAATAATTCCTTCCACAGTTTAGATGCCATGCAGCTCTTACTACCCACCAAAGTGTTAAATACAGTATGATCTTCTTCAGGATCCCAGTACTACCAGTGGTGTTGTTATGATCTCAGTAGCACCAGTATGTGAGGTGAGCAGAGTTCACGTTACCACAGCCCTCTCATGTTCCTCATGTGTGAAATTACAGACTGACCTGGAAACAGGCTTAGTCTGTGTTTAGTTGTGTGTCTGTTTGCTTGATGAATGTGTGTGTGTGTGTGTGTGTGTGTGTGTGTGTGTGTGTGTGTGTGTGTGTGCATCCCTCACCCTTCGTCCCAGAATCTGGTTGATGGCTGCGCTCTCCTTTAATGTGCACTCGGCGATGACCTTCGCCCTCATCTCCTTCATGTAAAGCATGAAGGCGTTCAGGGGTTTCTTGATGACCGGCTTCTTAGGCTCCTTCTCCCGCTTGACCTCCTGAGGTTTCCTGAGGAGGGGGGGGAGAAGAGGAGAGGAAGAGGAAGACAAGGAGGGGGGTAGGGGGGTAAAGATGGGTGAAGAAATTGGGGCGAAGATGGCGAGAGAATCAGAACCTGTTTTTTTCTGTTTTTGATTTGTCAATTTGTTTAATCAAGGAATTGATGTGTTGTTCATATACAGTAGGTTACGTTACACACGAGACAAAACAGAGAATACAAATACAACAATACAAATTTAAAGCAAATATTTGACACTTTCTTACAGAGATTAGCTGAAACGATTGATACCACTGTTATATATATATATATATATATATATATATATATATATATGCACATTAAATAAATAATAAATATAATACATTTAAAGCTAAGACACAATTAGCACAAAGACTGGAAACAGGGTGAAACCCCCCAAAAAAAAAAACGATCCACCAGCACCTCTTAAGTGTTATATAATGTTTGTTTAACAACCTTCACTTGCGCCCCACCAAGTCTCCAGGAAGTAGCAGTGCCTGGCTAAGAAATAGGCAGGCATATAACCTTCAATAATGCTACAGCTTCTTACACTTTGGATTAAACAAACAAGATATAATGAGCTAATTAGTGAGCTTTAGAGGAGCTGGCAGGTGCATTTTGTTACCATTGGATGGAGCCAGGCTAGCAGTTTCCCTATGTTTCCACTCTTTGTGCTAAGCTAAGCGGCTGCAGCTGCAGATGTGTATCGATCTTCTTATTTAACTCTCAGCAAGAAAACATGAGAAACATGTCTGTAAGTCTACATTTTTAAGTCTGATATAAAAGAGTGAATTAGTATATAAATACACATATACACTCGAGAAATTAAAAGAGCATATGATGAACAGGGTAGATTGGGAAAGGTGGATTTGAAAAGTGTGCCGTGCAGTGCAGTCAATACTTACGCGTACATGCCCCTGTCATACTGTTCGTGATCCTGTTTGCCTGAAGGGGGCACTATGGCTGGGTGGGGGATCCCTGTAGGATGCATGCCTGATGGGCCCAGCATCAGAGAGTGAGGGAACCTGGTGGAGGTGGAGGAAGACAGATAGACAAAAGATAGGAAGTGAGAGAAAAAAATGCTTTAGTCAGATCAGAGGATGGGTTGAGTCAGGGGCAGAGAGGACAGTGAGCGTAAAAAGCAAGAGCAAGAGTTTTGGTAAGCAATGAGCATGAAAAGCATTTCAGTGCCTGAAATCTGCTGATGTTCAACCTGGTTCCCCCACTAGAGTCAACCAGAGAACAAATCAAATCTACACATAGGTTGACAAACTCTGTAAAAAGCTAAAAATTACACAAATGGTGGCTGGTGTTCATGTTGAGCACTGCCCTTTAAATATGTGATTTGGTTCTCTATATTTATTCAGCAAATGTGTAAGCATTTGTCACCACTAGAGGGAGTCCTAGCATTACTGAGTGAGTGGCTGGCAGACCAGGAAAATACTCTTCTACATCTGCAAGTCAGTGCACTTGCAAACATCTTCCTTCTCAGTATATAATTTCACCATGTACGATATGAGCCAAATCTATTAATTCAAGTCTAAAAGAAGGCTACTGTAGGGATTTTGTTTCCAGAGAAGTTTAATATAAGATAAAAGAACAATAGATGTTTAAACAGTTTTGTTTTAGCTCTACAGACTGTGGAGGTAAAAGGGGAACAGTAGAGCCTGACTGACAATGAAGCAGCAATAAGCTTCAGCTGCTGGCAGCCGAGTGAGCGTCTGGGTCAAATAATAACCAAAAAATATTCCTATTGTTTGTTTTAACCTGTAGCTCATAGGTGGGGTATATTACACTTAAAAAAAAATAGGTAATAGCAACAGAGAGGATACATTTCCCCGCCAGGTTAAAGGTTTCAAAAGTTTTATCATTTTGGATTCTTAAATCTATAATGGCTTTTAAGTTTATGTAACGATTACACAATTGCTGAGGAGATACCCACCTATGTGGCATGATACAGGTCTAAAAACAAACCATAAGGTTGGCTGTGTGACAGAGGCCTTGCGTATGAGACCAAGCAGACAACCTGACAAACTGGCAAAGCGCTGCAGCGAGAAAGCTGTTGCAAGCACCGACTTACACTGTGTGAGTGTATATATCTTTGGTTCCGGATCAAATGTGTCAAATTAGACTCGCAGCTTAAGCAAATACACAAACAACAACCATATGAAGACACTGTAGCTCTCTCAAACTCACACTCGTATTGTTAGTGTTCCTGTGCGTCCTTGAAAAACAGAAGAATTCCTGTTGCTTTTTCTAAATTTAGTTTGATTAGAGAGGGTCATGGATCAGGAACACTCACAAATAAAACAGAAAAGGGGGGGAGTGCGCGTAGCAGTGTAAAAGCTGTTAATGTCCTGATGGTACTCAAGGTGGAGATTGGGTTTCTGTGTGTGTGTGTGTGTGTGTGTGTGTGTGTGTGTGTGTGTGTGTGTGTGTGTGTGTGTGTTTGCATGTCATCCATTTGTATTCTGCAGCAGCGACTAGCTTGGCTCGGCACAGTCTGCCTCGACTCGGCTTGTTTTTTGGCGAAACACTGAACTCGTCCTGTTTACAGCACACTGGCTCCAATGGGACTTTTTACAGCAGCTGCCCAATGAAAGCTGACACAGAAGCGGAACACGAGTTTGCCATGAATGGTGAATGGAAAACTCCTGCTCAGGCATTTTGAATGTGCTATAAACAGGAGTTGATGATGCAGAGCGTTGCTTGTTGTTTTTGCTTTTACTTTCTTGGCTCAGCCTGGCTCGGTCCCACCAGCCGGCTTAGGTACCTGGAGTAGGAGGAGGCGCCGGAGAGGTTGGAGGAGTAGGGCTGCCTGAATCCACAGGGGGACAGGGCAGGGTAGACTGGCTGGCTCTGCCTGCCACAGCACAGCAGAGGGGAGAAACGGCAACAGTTGGTGCCTTTTAGCTTTACAGGTAAATGTTTGTTGATCCCCGAGGGGACGTTTAGGCTCTTACGGTCAATTTAGTTCTACTATCATCTTAATTTAAATGCAATTTCATCATGAGGATACACTTAAAAACACTTTATTATGATACAGAGGGACAGCTTTGGGGGAATTTAAACCTGGATATTGTCAACCATTCGTCATCTTTGCTTGCATTGAAAAATATCTTAAACATTGGTTTCTTCTCAGGTCTAATGTTGATTGTTGGAATGAGAATATGAGTATATTTTCTTTACATTTTGTCCTGTAGTTTGTGTTCTATCCTTTATTATTAATAATTATAATTCATAATCATTTGTTTTTCTTGCTATGGGTTTTAGGAGAGACCTCTGAACAAGCCTTTAGCTTCCCACTTCTTCTGCACATTTTCATGTGTATGTAGATATACATGTGTATATAAGTGTAAATGTGTTTTAATGTACACATGTTTTTATAATCAACATTGTTGTATGTTGAAATACGCAAATAAAAACCGTAAAATAAACTTCAGCACCAGAAAATCTCATTCTTCAATAAAGTGAAATCTTGTGGTTTAATGCGTATTTGATTTTACATCTATAATAGCATCTGTTTTAAGAGCTCTTGTGATGCACGGTGATCCCCTGTAGAGACTGGATCAGAACTGCTGACAGCTGTGTGTCAATACTTGGCTTACCGGGAGCAGAAACACACACACTCACACTCCGTGGGAGGTCGAGAGTGGGGATGGGATGTAAGCAAGATCCTTTGATATGTATAAAACCACACTTCTGCCTCCAGAGAGCAAATACAACCATCCCCCCCCTTCAACTGATTCATCCTTATGTTTCAACGTATGCACACACACACGCACACGCACACACACACACACACACACACACACACACACACACACACACACACACACGCGCCAATCCGCATTGCATTTAAAGCCACCGTTTTACAATCGTCATTATCATCACACACACTTCCATGTCTCCTTCTCCTTCTCCACTGTATCCAATCTGTGGCCCCAGGAGGCAACGCTACACATTACACAGTAAAGCCCAGTAGCAGAGGCCTTCGCCTGGGAAGAGATCCAGAGAGATCACTGGGCTCAGCTCCTGGAGGATCGTTCATGCTGTAATCCTGTTTTACACAACAACACAGGTCAAGTGTTGTTCAGATAAAGGCAGTTCAAACTAAACAGCCGGTCTGCTCTTCATCTCGCCAGGAATCTGCACACACCAGGTCTGGGAATCCATAGATACATCAATCAATGTGATTACGTGTTGGTCCATAGCCAAAAAATTAAACTTCAAACACCATTGTACAGGTAACACACACATCAAAATCCTGGCAAACAGGAGCTCCTGAGTGACAGTGACGCCGCACTCGAACAGAAAAATAGCTCCCATGTGAAAAGCATGGCTGGACAGAGGTATGCTGGGAATGAAATGAAAAACAAGGCCACCTGCTCTATTGTGCTGATCAGCGCCTTGAGCATTTTCTTTGTTACACTTTGACTACAAGTGACAACAAAGTAATTACGTCCCCACAAACTGATGGGTTCAGTCAAAGGTACAGGGCTCGAACCTGTCAGTGAATGATGGAAATTATTAAATTATACCTTGGTAAAGGACCAATAAGTGCATTTTTACTGCCTTGGAGTACAAAAGTGCCCATAAATGTGAAATTTAGGCTTTATTTCCTTACTTTCTGGCTATTACTAGACGTTTTAAGGCACACCCAATCTTCAACCTCCCACATAGTTGCAATTTCAGCTGCTCAATGATGGAGGATCGAGATGTAAGCAAACAATATATTTCTGTAACAAAGGCTGAACATTTAGGCCTCTTATTACTACAGTAATTTGCATAGTGGTCTGTTCTAATTGCCAAGTTGTAAAAACTGTTTGTGTCACTTAAAGTGGCAGTATACTCATGAGAACTGCTGGTTGGAGGGTCGAATCGTGTCTGAAACCCCTTCCAGGAGAGGTTCTCCGAAAATAAGCGCTGTTACCCCCATATTTAAATGGCATCACATCTCGCCCTCTCTACGACGACCGGCTTGTCACCCTTCCTTTCGACAAGGTCAAAAAACATGTACGAACTAGCCCATTCTGAGCATAATCTGACCTTTACAGGCCACCGTCCCTTAAGGGGACAGGAGGACGCTGTGCTGCAGTCTCGGTTTGTTTGTGAGACTCGTGCTTGCACCGCAGCAGTCGCCGCTGCAAAGCTGCATCCTTACAAACAACAAAACACATCTCAAGTAATTCCTGAGACATATGGAGGTGGCCATGGAGGGAAAGAAGGAGAGACCAGGCTAATAATCAAAACAACAGTTTGACATTTAACCACTCATTCTGCGTTCTCCCCTCGTCCTCCTCCTCCTTCAACAAAGAAGAACACTGCAAGGGGCCAAAACAAGCAGATAATCTGGGTTAAAGGAGATTAGCTGTTAATAATGTTTGTGAAAATCCATAGTGAAGTGTCTGAAAAAGATAAAACGTCTATAAATCACAGACTTGAGAAATGTCCGGGGACAGACAGCTCATCCTACAGAAACACGACAAACAGATACACACACGTAAGCAAGGGCACACACAAAAGTTTTAAGCTTTCGTTCCAAATCTCCATGACATTTGATGTAAGCCTTTAACTGTTCCTGCAGGGGATTTTGTCCAGGCACAGATACTGTAGGTTGTAATAAATGGATTTGTGTTGATCCATAAATCAATGGAAGCCTGACATTATAAGTTCACAATCAACCAGCATGACATCGCAAGCTCAGAAACGCCTCTTGAACTGATGGAAATTGTAAATGAAACAACTGAATATGGACCAGATGTGGCCCGCTGAAGGCCGCTGCTGCTTTGTCCCCATGAGGAACCTTTAAAAAAATCAAGACACAGGCTGAGCGGAGTTTTACCGCTCTAAACAAAAACAAAGTGTGGTTGATAAAAGCCAAAAACGCACTCATTTTGCTCTTTAATTTGGGGTCTTCGCTAGTTAAATTTAAGGGCAGAATCTACCTGAACCTGAAGACTACAAGAAGAGATGACTACAAGTTCCATATTTAGATTTCAGAGTACTGTCCAGGACGTTGCATGACTAGTGCTCACTGCTGTCTCTCTTTTTTTCTTTTCTCCTTCACTGTTTAAGATGATTTCTTGGCAACAACATCCACTTTTAAACCACATTAAGTCTCTTTATTGATAATTTGATTTTAGTCAGTGAAAACATGCACTCAGAGTACTTCCATGTGACTGGATAGACAGAGACTTTTACTGTCTGTTAATAATAGTTTTTACTCAACACTATTTTGGTTGACATTTCATTAAAACATTTTGCAGTCGTGCACATTCCTTTTGTTTTCGACCAGAGGCCGCAGGTGGAAGTAAAGAGTCCTCAACACAGAGGATCAAAGGAGGTGGTTTCCATGGCAACGGGGCCTTGGGTTACCTACTCTGACACCAGGTGAGACAGTGATGTATGTAACGCTGACCTGGGTCAGAGTGTGTATGTGACTATGTGTGTGTGTGTGTGATGATGCGAGATGGTGATGATGGTGTTTGGGACGGTCAAAGTGAGGTTGTGAAGACTTTTGGGGAAAATAAATGTTTAGAGGGTTTAGAGGTTACATTAGATTCAGGTTAATGGTGCAAATTATGTGTCAGAAAAACATCAGCGTGGACTGAACAGCTAAAGGATGCTTGAAGGGCTGGGACAAAGTGTTATGTTCATTACTGAATAAACTGATTATTTGAATCGAATAATTCAAGGTTTGAAAATGTCAGTAAGAAGTTAAATTTGAATTATTTTGAATTCCTTGTTTGGACTATCTGACAATGCAAAACCAAAAGTATTCAGTAAAAATCATATCATACTAAGAAAAGCAGCATAAATTCACATTTGAAAGAATGGAACATATGTTTTTTTTTATTAACAAAATCTACTACTATACTATCCTTATAGAAATGTGCAGACAAATTTAGATGAGCAATGTCCATCACTCACTGCATCGCTTTAATGTTGCCATTTTGGGTAATGTTTCACAAATTACAGAAAGAAAGCTGCTACACTTTGCTGCAATATTCCTTCAATGTTATGTAAAGACTGTGAGTTACAACAAGGTCATCACAAAGGACTGAAAGACTGAGTGAGTCACAGCATGTACAGATATGTGTGTGTGTGTGTGTGTGTGTGTGAGAAACTCACCAGCCCATGGAGGGAGTGATCTGGCCGACGCCGCCTGGAGGGAGGGAGTAGTACCCTGAGAGGTCCTGGGACTGGTGCCTGTGAACTCCTGGAGGACACACACACACACACACACACACACACACACACACACACACGTTAACATCATGTAATCACTCTTTTCTCTCTTTAATTTTGTCACTAAACACAAAATAAGTACACACACACTTAATAAATGTTGCAATTTCTCAGTTTTTTGTTTTTTAAAGACACACACACAAACAAACAAACACACACGTGCTTGTTAGGTGAGGTCAGCGGCCCCTGGCCACGGCCCCAGGTCCAATGGACTATTAGCGCTATTAGCAGTCTGGGAACCTGGTATTAAACACAAAAGACGCCCTTAACACAGGTCACACACTTCTGTTCCCATACCATCACAGTGCATATCTGAGATGACACTGTGTGTGTGTGTGTGTGTGTGTGTGTGTGTGTGTGGGACCCTCCACTGGGAGCTGATGTCGCCAGTTGGGTTGACTGGTTTATTCTACACCAGTTACTGGCTGTGGTAAAAGTTCCCACATTTTAAAAACACACACAGACACGGGTAGACACACACCCAAACATGCACGCAAACAAACCATCTCACGTACTTCATCTCTACTTTTAGCAAAAATGTTTTCCAACAAAAGAAACACAGACAGCTCGACTCTCTGCCCTCACACAGTAAATATCCAGTCTCTCTCTGTCTCCCTCTTTGTGCCCTTCAAAGGAAGTCATTTGTCAACAGGCAGCACCTAGCACTTAGCGCAGCCCGGCTGCTAACCTGTGTTTGCAGCAGAGGAATGCTCTAGATGACTGTAATTTGGCCGCGGCTCCGGGCCTGTTTCAGGACCCCGAGCCACTATAAATCTGGACGACAGGAATGTGACTGAGTCAGTCGACCTGTCTCACCACTCCGATCCTTCCTCCCCTCCCTCCGTCTGTTCCACCACGCCCTTCCTCCCTTCCCCTCACCCTGTCTTACAGCCCTCCACCCTTCCACCATGCCACTGCCCAGACCCTCTTTCTCCTCATTTTTTGTCCTTGTTCTCACCTCTCTTTTATTTATTTTGCCTTACTTCTCCTGTTCTCACTCCTTTAATACAACTCTTCCATTCCCTCTCCTCTCTCATCCTCACCTTCATCCATTCCTAGTGTGCATCCATATTACTTTTAAGGTCTCTCTCGCATTCATTCTCACCTCCAGTTTATTTCTCTACCGTATGACAAATACATGGAAACATGGAAACAGGATGATGGAGAAATGGTATGCTATGGTGTCACCAAAACTATTTTCTCAAAATAAACCTGACTTAGCGCTTCAGCCATCCGAAAAAAAACACAAGATGAAGATTAAATTCAATAGCTAAATGAAATACCCAGTGACGTAGCAGGCTACTTGAGCAAAACAATGAATATTCAAAAATTGTGTATTGTTGTAATTGTGTATTTAGAGCATTAATCAAATTTCTTTACAACAAGACAGTAATGGTTTGTGGACCGGATATTATATCTTACTTAAATGGCTCATTGGTATTTAAACAGTCAGTTATAAGTCACTACAAGCATATTCATCAGACAAACATAAGGGCCTGCACCTATAAGCTCTGCATACAGTAAATTACTCTATAGATATATGATAAAGGCTTTTAAAGGAGGCAGTAGGGACTTTTGGCTTTCTGATCCCTGTTGCGATTTCTTCCCATCACAGGTCTGCATGTGTCATGGTTACGTAATGGAAGAGGTTTCTCAGCAGCTCATGTCAAACACAGACATAAACAAGGTTCAACATAGAGGTCTTTATCACGGTAAATTCCACTTATTGCAAACACAGGGTTTACCCTCAGGCAGACTCACAACAGCACTGCATGACAAAACATGGACAAAACTCTTTATTTCCATGAGAGCTCTGCAGTGGTGCATAGGGGCGCTGAAGCCCACAAACACACAAAAACAAAATGAAGGGGTTTTTGAGTGGAAAGTTTTACACCTGGCTCATCTTTTGTGCAGCACAGTGCTACATCATTTGGCAATACATAGCGTCGCTCAATCAAATAAGTGTGAAGTATTTTTTCCTATGGACAAAATAATGTGACTCAAAGTTGGAGCACTTCTATGACTTGCATGGACATGGTTAAATCATCAAAAGAGTAACACCATTTCAATACAAAGTCAAAAAGGTACAAGCCTGTATTTAAAGTATGAGTTAACTATGACTCACAAGGTGCATTTCAGCAAAAAAACATCCAATGAATAAACTGATTTCACATGTGCCACTAACAGTGGGCAGAAGCGTAAGATTATTCTGTTTGGGAAATCAATTATTATTTGAATTATGTGTAAATATGGACAAACATCTGCAACTATGGTGCTATATTTTGTTCTCAAGTTAAACGACAAAGAGTTTTGAGTTCTCTAATGCTCTGACTCACACCTCTGACTGGTTTCTGGGTAGTGTAGCAGTTTTAGCCATCTGCCATGCCAAACTAACGAATGGTACAAGATTTCTCAGAAACTAAGCTAAAACAAAAACTGAAATGGGAATAAAGATATGGGGAAAAAACCCCAGTAACTTAAGTTAAAGTATCTTTGCATTTGCATTCAAACTAGACTTTTCACAGTTACCTTGTTTCAACACACCAACGTCGGCCATTTTGTTGTTTTGCCAGAGGGCTCATCCTCAGGCTAAATGTGCCCTTAGGCTAGTAATAGATTTTTCTGTCTATGTTTATATTGTACAGGATAAAAGTGAACTGATAATAACAGGGAGCAGATTTCCCCAATAACCGAACTGAATGTAATACTTTCTTTGATATTGAGATGGCGAACTTTCCAAATCACCCATGTGTTCCCTGCAATGACTGTATGGCTCACATCAAAACTGTAATCCTAAACAGAATGTACACAAGTTGGATTTTGACCGTTAATCTGTGGCGATCACAAATGTGAAGGAAACATGACGCTGGTTTCTGTAAGTCACGTTTTTGACACTATCAGCCCTGTTTGTTGTTGGGAAACCTGAAGGGGAAAATTAGCAGCAGTAATGGGGCAGTTTTCTTTGGAATGCCCCTTTTAAAGCAGCCGTCTAATGACAGCTACAGCAACTATCTCACGGTCTCCCTGTCAGCGTCTCGGGAAATACTTAAAAGGGAAACCATTTGAGTCAAATCAGCTCTGCGTGAGCTCAGTATCAGAACGTGTGCATGGTGAAACGAGAGTCGAGGAGCTGAAAATAGTATTCCAGCACTGATAATGTGCTGTGGTGGTTATAACCACTGAGAGTGCAAGTGCTGCAGCATCTGAGCCTTTAAATGACTTGACAACCAACGTGTGTGGTGTACATAAAAGAGCCCAAGACCAGAAGAAACTTTGTAGTGTTTTGTTACAGTAAGGACGGTAATGAGTGCTGACAAATTTTACTCAAGTACAGGAAAAGTTACTTTTCTGAAGACCAAACACTGAAAGTCACAGTAATAGTAAAAGTCCTTTTTTTACAGTGTAAAACTACAGATTATGAAAGCCATGTCTAATATTTTTTGTCTTACTACTCATCACATTTCATTTCCAATACTCAGTTTCCCTTTTTCTCATGTTGCTTTCAAGGTGAATGACTCACACTGTCATTATCAATTATGAGTTAACATGAGCACATGTAGCCATTCACGATATAAATTCTAAATATTTTATGACATTACATTTTTACTCATCATTCAGCTTATTCTTTAGTTGTTTTAACTTGTGTTATCTAAATTCACTCATTTCTGTTGGTTTGTTTTTGTGATTTGTTCCTGTTTCCGTGGATCAACTTATTTCTCTTTGAAGACAAATAAAATGGTTGACAAAGAAAATACAATGCTGTGGCAAGCAGCACAGACTAAGAAAAAAGAAGCTCTCAGCAATGTCAACTTGACGACACATACATTCAATTATTTAACATGCTTAAGAATGTTTAACCTTAATATTCTTCAAAGTGATTTGTTTGGTTTGGTTTTGCATAGTCATATTGGTGCATAATTGGTCTAAAAAAAGAAAAGGCCTATTTATATTCCAGCTAAAAAATAACAAAGCACTATATTGGCCGCCATATTGGTAATTGGTGAATTTTCCCCCCTAAAATTGGTATCGGTATCAGTCTCAAAAATCCCGTTTCGGTCGAGCTCTAGAATAGAGAAATAACTCAAAGGCAACAAATTTCTGAACTTCACACTTCAGAACGTAGTTACTTTAACGTGTCATTGCAAAAGCTATGGTCTTAAGCAATGTTAAGCTTAGAAATAAAACTCAATTGTAATATTGATATATCAAAAATAAATTCATAGAAATAGTAGAACTTTATCAGAAACTGATATAGCTGCCATTATTCTATAACAAATCCCAGAAACCAAACAAAACCAACAATGCATTCATCTTCTATTTAAGATGTACGTTTAAAAAATGGGTCATAAAAATAAAGTTAAATAAAAGAACTGCTTTTGCAAAACAGCTGGGTATTGTAGTTTTTAAAACTACTCAAACAGGAATAAAAAGTGCATTTGTTGGGGACTATTTTCAGCTGTGGTTACCCGATACACCAGCTCCAGTATTTACACCAGCAGGACGATATGTGGGTTTGACCCAAAGTAAACTACAGTTTGTGTGTTCATGGTAATGAGGGAACATCTCAGCCAGTGCAACAGTGTGGTTCACTGATGTATTTATAATAGTTTTTGGACAACAATGGAGCTCTGTGGCACAGAGGAATGAGATGAGACTTTACACAGAAATGTTTGCTAAAAGGATCAATTCCTTGCTGGTTTTGGTCTTAAGAAAAATCTATAATACAGCCTTATTCTTTAAAAAATACTTAAAAAATACTTAAAAATGCAATGAAAATGCAAAGTTCTGCTCAGGTAACTGAAGCATGCAGTTTGCTACCAGTTACTTCACACTCCTTCTGCAGCACACGTACAGTAATACCTGGAGACCATACGAGACTATACAGTAAGTGTTGATCAGTCTTAATCTTTGCACATAAAAGTGTGACAGCAAGCAGACATGTTTCATTTCTGCTTTTGCTTTCTGTATTTA